GCTGCTTCTGCTTTTCATTTTGTTGCTGTTGCTCTTCAACTGCCTTTTCATGCTTTGCAGTCTAGAAAATTTCCACATTTTTAGGCACGTTTGCCTCGAAATAGCGTCTCGTTGCGTTTTGTCTGGCGTCAGCTGTGGGTGTTGGCGTTTTTGTTTGTGTTTGTGTTAGCGCTTGTGGGTGTGAGCGTGTGTGTGTACGTCTGCATTTTTCTAACGCCAATTGCTTTCAACACCTCCAGCAAAAACACACACACGCACACACACACACATACTCGTACGGTCTGACACCGACGTTACTTGAGCCTTTTGTGTGTGCTGCTCCTGACCGAGGCCACGTTGATCTGGGCTGGCTTGAAGCTTGAAAGGCTGCAGTCGTATCTTGGCCTGCCAGTTGTATAGACTGACATATTGCATTTGCCTGAATGGGCAGTGAGCTGCGATTACACACACACACACACACACACACGTACAGAGTGTGATGTATGTGTGTGTGTGTGGCAGAGTTTCCTTCCGTTGCCTTTTGCCACAAAAACGGAAGCAAGGCACACTAAACGATTTGCTTGTCTCGTTTGCTGAAGTATTTTGCAGCCAATTGAAGAGCTTTAAAATTAAGAGATCTTCGACTGGGCCGAGTAAGGGCTGTTGTTGTTTTAGGGTTGGCTTTTGAAATATTGTGCATACGCCATGTGAGCGCATAAACTGATAACGCACAACCGAAGGCCCCGAAAGTAGTTACTTCATTTGATGTGCGTGCGTGTGTGTGTATGTGTGTGTGAGTGTGTATGTGCGTTGTTGTGGCCAAGTCCAGTGAACGTATGCTACGAGTTGTTTTATTAATGCAGCTTAAGAAGCAGCAGCAGCAGCAGCAGCAGCTGGCCAAAGGATTCGGCATTTTATTGCATTGTCAATTTAATGGTGTGGAAATGTGGAAATGCTTTGCTAAAGAGTAAAGCGAAAACTAAAGGCAGCATGAGTAACAAGTAAGAAAGCTCTAGTCGAGACTACTCGACTACGAGATCCCCTGAACCCTTGGAGTAATAGCTATTTCAATAATTTTTCGCGTCTTTCAGCTTACACAAGAAACACGCACACATACACACACACACACGACGCACGCACACACAGGCATACATACACACACATACATACACACATACACACACACACACACACACACACATACACAAACAATTACATACATATACACACACAAGCATAAACACGCATGGGCGGCAGTGAGCGCTTACTCTGAGAACTTAATTGCTTAATAACTTTTTTGTGGACGTACGATCTTCACGAAACTTTTAGATTATGATTATAACATGGATATGCATGTAATTGCCAAAGCACAAGTCTCTAGTATTTGAAATACGCTTTTTACAAAAGTGAGGGTGAGGTGGTGAATTTAAGGGTGGGGGGTAAATTTTAACAAAAACCGAAATTGTATAAATTGCATATAAGCATACATTAAAAATTTGGAGACTCTAGCAATAAAGGTGTAGAAGATATAATTTTCTAACTGGTTTTCGATAAGGTTTTTTATCGATAAAAAAATATCGGGATGAGTTATCGATTTTTAATGATAAACTTGATATGCGCGCTGTAATTACGAACATTTAAAAAAAAATTTGAAGTCTCTAGCTCTTATATCTTCTGAAATCGACGCGTTCATACATACGGACAGACGGACAGACGGACAGACGGACGGACGGACAGACGGACAGACGGACAGACAGACGGACAGGGCCAAATCAACTCAGCTCGTCGCCCTGATCAAGAATATATATACTTTGTGGGGTCTACCACGCCTCCTTCTCCCTGTTACATACATTTCAACAAAACCATTATACCCTGATTTCCCATTGAAAATGGGTTCAGGGTATAAAAAGTAGCTGCCAGCATTACAAAACTCTGTTGAAGCACTCGAAGAAAACCTGACCACAAATGATTTTCGAAGTTCGATTGAAGTTTGATTTCTATTGAAAAGCAAGATATTAAGTTAAGTTAAAATATATAAAAAATATTTTACATGTATATATATATCATATATCTATCAAGAATTCTTTCTATATTTGTATATATCAATTATTTGTCGCACAAAAATATTCTCATTTGAGGTGAAAAATTCAAGACCTTGCAAAAACAATTTTACACTCACAAAAATGTGTCTCTTTATATTTATTTACTTTATTTTTATTTTTATTTTTTTTTTCAGAAATTAAAATGAATCAAGTGTATTTAGCTATTATAATTGCTATGTATATTATCAAACGTTATACATATGCAGAATAAAACATTCTACATTCTTAATATGAGAATTTTTCTCAGTGTAACTACACACACACACACAACACGACACTTACGCATAAACAAGACAAATACACAGCTAAGCCAAGTGCTAACTAAGGCAGTTAGAAGATGTTCAATGCTGTCCATTGCCACGCCCACACACAGGCACACAGATCAGTGCCTGTCTAGCTGTCTGCCTTGTCTATTTCTGTTTTTGCTGTTGCAAGTAAAATAATCCAAACGTTTAATGCCTGCACAATATTTATTGCCATGTTTCATATTCGTAGATACTTTTTTGCCACCACACCAAGGCTGAGGTTCAGGCTGAGGCTGAGGCTCAGGATCTGGCGTTGGTTCTGGCTCAGCCTCAGCCTCAGTCTCTGCTCCAGTTGTTGCCTGCATTGTTTAGTTTTGTACTTTCACTTGCCATTATTGCTGCCCTTGTTGCATTTGTTGTTGTTGTTGTTGTTGTTGTTGTTTTTGTTGTTGTTGTTGTTGTTGTTGTTGTTGTTGCTGCTGTTGCTGTTGCTGTTGCTGTTGCTACTATGTCAAACGATTTATAAAATGCCAAGCGGCAACAGCAGCAACTGGAGAGGCCATTGAAGTAAGCAGCCATAAAAACAACAAATGGAGACGACGACGGCAATGGCAACGGCAACGGGCAAGGGCGACGGCATGCCTGGTGCCACAGCCCGTTGCACGAACAAGAGATAAACGGAAATTATTAAAGTGCTGCCAGATTTATGAAAATGTATTTGTATTTGCTGCTCGCCTCTGCTCACAGCTCTCAGCCCTCACCTCTCTACACTCTGCTGCTCTGTGCATGCTCTAGCATGCCTCGCCCAGTGCCTTTTAAATTTGCTGTTTGGTTTTGGCCATTTATCAGAGCCATTGCCAGACGCAACCTGTGCGAGTAGAGCTTAGACGCTTTCGGCCCAGCTTATTGATTGCCCCAACTCGATGCTGGCCAATTGGCTTGCAAGCTGCAAGTTAATATGTGCGCCTCGACTACGACCAAAGGCTCAAACAAATAATCACTGGCAATCAATTAGATTATAATATCAGAGCCAGGGATATCCTCAAGCAGATAGCGCTGCAGCGATGCAGAGAGTCTTTGTATGCAAAGTCAGCTGGCAATGGCAAGTGTTGCAGTTAAAGCTGTGTAGCTATAGAACTCTGTAAGACATTTAGAGCAGCGATTCATATGCCAAATTGGACAAATTATATTCCGAGTTCAGTGAGCACTCGACTGCATTTGTCAAGCTCTTCACTTTCACAAAGCTTATATGGCTTACGGTTATGGACCCCGGCAGGCAGTTCACTGCCAAACCGGAAATGAAAGACAATTCATTATACATGCGCGCTCGTTATTTAATCGAAGGCAATAAATTGGCATTTAAATGTAATAAAGACGCGAAAAATAATTACAATTGCTGAAATGGATGCTTTATGGCGAGTATTATTCTTATTATTATTATTATTATCATGATTATTATTGTTGTTACTGTTGTTGTTGTTGTTGTAGCTGCCGTTGGCTGATTTTGTCGCTGGCATCAGCGAATTTTATACAATTTTTTTGTATTATGCGCATAATTTTTGGACTTCGTTTGCTGTCAGCCCAAGCAGCCTTGGGTATTGTTGTTGTTGTTGTTGCTGCTGCTGCTGGCCAAGCGCATGACAGTTAAGTGACATTTAACGGTTAATAAGCCTGACAGATTTACAACTGTCAGCAACGTTTAAAAATAATGAACAGCGAGGACCAAATAAAAAATATATAAATAAACAAAAAAACAAAAAACAGCAAAAAACAGAAAAAAAAGGAAAACAACAGAAAAAGCAAACGACGACCAGAATAGCCCAACGATTTGAGAAAATTGACTGCGTAAAGTGAATTATTAATGTCATGTGGGGCTGGCTGATGTGCTCAGCCTAGAGGTTTGGACTGCCGCCAGTGCTGCCCATCGAAATGGCACTAAATGTCCGTCTATTTAGTTACCAAGTGTTGAAAATTTACTGTGCGTATTAAATAAATGCGATTTTCCGGCACGTGAATGCCGTCCGGCTCAAAAGCTAACTGGAGAGATCAAAGCGTAGCCGGAAAAGGCGATGGCACGCGTGACACGAAAATAAAAGCACGAGCAGTGAATGGAGAGTTTGGAGAAAGTATACTAAATATAAGTTATAGACTGAGACTAGCAATATCATCTCATGAGTGAGTTACCCTATGAAATACGACGTCAGCTGAAAGACATTTATGTGACTTCATTTAAATATAAATTATTTTTTATCACTTTTCAACTAAAAGTGACTAACATACAAAAAAAAAAAAAAACAAAAACAAAAACTTAAATCATTCAATTTTCGATATGTTTCTCTGCCATAAACAAGCCCTCTCTTCATATCCCACTGGGATTCGTCACGTGCCCATCTCTAGGGGGCGTAGAGCGACCCTGTGAAGGAGCCTCATATGAGGCCTAGGCGCAGCAACAAACCGAATGCGAAACGAAAACTAACCAAACCGAAACGAAACGTAGCGAAACACGAGAATTGTGCAAAACACAAGGAGACAACGCTCATAAAACATAAATTTAATTTATGTGCAATTTTAGCAAGTCGTATAAATTTTCGCATGCGAGCGAGAAAAAGCATACAAAACGAAAGAAATAGAAATACAAAAGCAAAAAAACAAAACAACAGCAACAACAGCAACAAAATAAATAAGAAATGGCAAGGAGGCAGTGGGCAGCTGGCCCAAGGACCCGCTCGAGTTTGGCTTGTATGAAATGTCCTTGAAAATGCCATGTTTTAGTTGTAGTTGTTGCTGTTGTTTTTGCGCTTATTTATAACCCCAGCTCTCGCGCTGGCCAAACTGAAAGGGTATAAAGGATAAGATATATGCTGCTTTGAAGTCCTTGTTGCTGTTGCTATTGCTGTTGTTGTTGTTGTTCCTGGCTTATATGAGCAATTTATGCTGCCTGTTTGCTTGAATTTTAATGAATTGCTGCAAATTCATTTGTGTGCCACAGCAGCAACAACAACAAAAACAACAACAACAACAGCAACAAAAAGCTAAAAGAAGCTGAAAGAAGAAATTTGTACAAACTGTTTGCTTAAAGGCCGTGTCCAAATATTCTACTGCCTGCCTTCGAGGCGCACATTTGGCCAACAGATTTTAATTAAATTAAATATGACAACAAGCAAAATGCTTAAGAGCTTCAGTTACATTTCCTAAAAAGTTTACACTAACAGACACCGGGTGAAGGAACAATTTTGAGGGGCTTTCGGTAGGAAGTTGTTAATAAAATGAATGAAATCTCAAGCACGCTGCAGTGGCTTCAAATAGCACAGAAAAATACTTAGTGCCAGTTCCCTGTGAAAATTGCAATTTACTTAACATTTAATTTACAAACATCCTGGCACACACACGGACACAGCTCACAGCTCCTAGTCTCAACAAGGACAATGCAATCATAAAACTTTGCTCAAAGCCTGAACGGACAAAAGGCAAATGCAGCGGACGGACAGGCTGACAGCCAGACTGACTAAGTCTGGAGCGTGTACTGGGTAGAATGGAAAGTATTTTCTGCTTGTTATTTACTGAAAATACATTACACACACGGACAGACACACACACACAGGCACGCACCCATGCACGGACGCATAGATGTTGCTACCAGGGGCAATATTGTTTTATTACCATTGTTGTTGTCTCGGTATTTGCCGCTTGTTGCACACCGCACTCCTCCTCCTGCTTCCTCCTCCTCTCCTGATACTGCTTCTTCTTCTTCTGGCAGCTGCTCAGTAGCCTCGTTTGGCCATCCTCTGTTAACTGTGCCACAGGCTAGGCAGCCTAAAATATTTTTGCCATCTTTTTGCGTAAGGGATTACTTTGATAAAAAATTAATTACATTTTTTGTAATTTAAATATGCATTTACCAAAAATGAATCTCTGGTCAGAAATCATGCAAGCCTGACAACTATTTCAGCTTGTTAACCAGTAAAGGGCTAAAACATTTAAATCTGAGACTTTTATAATTTAATCAAATGTTTAAATTTATTAAAAATTTATTTGAATTAAAATATGATATTTATTTTTAATTTATATGATAGTATGTAAACTATACTCAAATAATTGCACATTATTTATTAAGACTTTTGATTGATTGATTAATAATGTACGTAATTTTATTTTTAAAATTTCCATAAATGCTTAGAAATCATTTAAAAATATACTCATAAATATTATAAAATGGGTTGAAATTTTAAAGTTTTTTTTTAGTATTTTTTATAATATTAAAATGAGATGGATAAATTCTTGCATGAAAGGCTAATCAATCTAATTAGATAATAATTTTACTTAAATAATCTCGAGAAAATATATTTTTTAAAATTTTTTTTTTATATATTCTCTACAGTTAAGCTACACCATATGAGTCTTTTCCCATTGAGTAAAACTCTTAGCCAAGCAAATACCCTTACATTTAGCTGCAGGAGTCGGCAACAAGCAACATGAACTCATATCGCACATTCTCTCTGTGTGACGAAACACAAATTATTAATCTATTGTATTCACTTTGTGGAGGCTATCAACGCAGTCACAGCACACTGACTCTTCCACGCAATTTTATTCCCAAAAAAAAAAAAAAAAAAAAAAAAAAAAAAAAATGGGTTCAGGGTATAAAAAGTGAGACAAAAACAGAATAATAGAGATAAAAACAATTTGGAATTTACTGTCAGCTAGCACGTCGCCTGCTGTGACTTCTCAACTCTGTTGCTGACATTTTAATAACAACCCACACGTTATTGTTAAATATCAGGTCGCTGGACTGGGTGCTGGACGATTGTAAAAACCAATACCAATACTCAGCTATTTGCCGGACAGCGCGAAAAATGTTTAATAAATGAAAAGATGCAGGAACAAAAAATGCGATGAAAATGGACAATGGTCAATGCCAAAAGGGCAGGAGTCTGCCACTTGTTGGCCTTTATTATTATTTTTGAGTTTCTTCTCTTTTTTGTTGTTTTCGGCACTTTTTCAATATTGTGCTGCATACTTTTGTCAATATTTGCAGCACAAATTTTATTGTCGTTTTCGTGTGGAATTATACATTGTCAAATTATTACAACCTTTTAAAGGGGAAAAAGGGCAAACGCAAATTTAAATGGCCTGCGGAACGAAGTATTTTGTGCGTTAATCCATTTTGCAAGCGCGCCCACACCCTGTAATTATTGAAAGGTTTCAATATGCATGTCAACTGGAAGTGACACATGAGAGAATCGCTGATCTCTTGGTATATGAATGAACTAAATGAACTGAGAGGCAGTTTGAGTTGGAGATGTGATGTAATGATGAAGTAATTGTTAGTTGATTAAAAAAGAGAAGACGAACGGTGATTTAGGTATATAAGTGAAACAAGGAATTCAAGGAATTCGATATACCAAAGCAAAGTGAAGAACAAGCTCTAGTCCCATAGGACCCCTTGTCGAGTGCCTATTACAGGGTATATGGAATTATTTTTTCATTAACAATTCGTTTGAGTTATTTTCGAATATTGGGCGAGCAGTGTGAAGTGTGTGAAGTGTTTCCCCACGAGTGTTGGCAGACATATCACAGATTTATTTCATTCAATTTAAAATATTTGATTCAATCAATATGCATATACATATTTAATCTATGGCAACGAGTTATGAATTTCGAATACTTTGATTTCAAGGTACATCTAATTAAAGACTCGTGTGTGTACATTAATGCAGGGAGAGGGCACACACACACACACACCCACACTCTCTCGCAAACACTGTGGCGATACGCTTAATGCGGGCTTATCTGTGCGGCGGCGTTTATGCATTCCTGGAAAGTTTACTTACTGGATGTGGGCGTGTGCGAGGGCAAACAAAGAAACGAAATAGGATTTGAACAAGGCTCTTATGGCGGGAGTCCTTTGCACTTAGACATAAGCCGCGGCAGCGTCTTCGCCGCAAAACGTTGTCCCCGACAACGACCAACAACCAACAATGTTTCCAGCTATTTGCCGAGTCTGCAGTTAATTAACATAAATTTAAAATCAAAACCACAGGATGTCAGTTAAATGCGGTTGGCGGCCTGGCAGCGGTACGTCTAATTATGTGAGCGCCTCTACATAATTTTATGAGACCCTGGACACGTGTCCTACCCAGTTCGTAATCGCCGCATTTTGTTGCAGCGCACGTTGCAGCCATTAAAAAGCAGTTTAAGAGCTTTGCCCCAAACAGAAATTAATATTTAATAATACCCAAAGTAACTGGCAAACAAGAAGCAAACAACTCTTAGTGCTACTTACTGCTGAAGCGAGTCTACGATTTGCCCACTGCGCAAACAATTCGAGCTGCTGCATACTAAATACCCTATAAATGGTTCACATTCCTTGACAATACCCTTTCCAGCTCGCTCATTTACAAAGTGAGCATATACATAATATACATATAATGATCACTGCCCTGAATAAATATCTAGTGGATGGACTTGTGAAAGGTATTGTCAGTGAATGACAGCTAATTCTTATGCTAATGGGAGCTACTCTATGAGTATACGAATTATGCATATACATACATGATGAGCCCTAAATAGTCTATAATTACAATAAATACGTTGATGAAAGTTTTATCAAACGTATTGTCATTGTTTATAAACATCGATATTCATAACGATGTACTCTAAACTGTATATAAAGGTATTGTATTGTCTATCCATATTCCATATTCAAATGAATGAATTCTGAATGTATTATTAATATGAATAGACAATGACAATAGCGCGTTAATTATAATTTATAATTTAAATGAATGCCTCTTTGATTAACTTAGCAAATATTTTATACACAAAAAAAAGGATTACACTAAGAATAAATAATCTATAATATATCTATTGAATATTAAATAGACATAATTTAAATAAATGGCTTGTTAACTGTTTTGAACGAAAACTGATAAACTATTATGTAAAAATGCGATTCACAAACCGTATTCAGATTGTAGAATATAAAATTTAAAGAAACCTACTCTCACCTATATAAAACATTTGAAATGAATCAAAATACTTCCTTATCTATACGAGGAGCGGCCCACGTTTCATCAATTGCCTACAATTTTTGGTCAACTCATCATTCAATTGGATAAAAGATTGATGAACTTATTATTTCGTCCTCCACTAACAAATGAGTTGACTATTAAAACTTTCAACAAGCACAAAATTAACAATCTCCATTAAGAGTCCAATCTACTTTATATTAAAATATTAAAAAGTCTCAATTCTCTCTCTCACTCTCTCTCTTTTGAAAATATATATTTTGTTTAATTTTCAGCAATCATTTTTTCTTTTTTATTTTCATTGTATAAATAGGTATATATATTTTTAATAATTGCGGCAGTATTAAACTCTACTTTTTTTCTTAATACCGACTTATTTGTGTGGGCGTGAGTAAATATGTGAGTCGAATTAAAATACATTATTCACACACACACACACCTACACACACATACGATGTCAATGGCGAGCAGCTTATTAAAAAGTTAAGAACTTTAAATGCCGTATAATGAAATGCATTTCAGTTATTTGCATTGTCACTTAACGCTTTTAATTTAATTCCATTCGCGCGACAATTCAGCTGAAAGGCCTTGAGGCGCCTTTTCATATTTATTAACTTATTTATTTTTATTTTTGTATGTGTTTGTTGTTTCATTTTTCTCACATTTTCCATACTCATAACGCGCATACGCAGCGTTGTCCAAATAGTCAACGCTTAATTACAGCCCGAAACAATTGGCCCGCGCCTCGACCTGCGGTCACATTTAATGACAGCTCACCAGTCATCTGGCGTAAATCAACGCCGGCTGACTCCGGCGTTATTGTTCCAATATATGTACATATATACATACATACATATATACATATATACATATATATCCACAAGGACACTGAGCCAATCAGCTTACAATTTATTGATGGCGACCGATTCGACTCCGGTTGAGTTGGTTTTGCGTTGGGCGTCGCCGATCTCTGGTTGGGGGCTGGCCTGTTGACGGGTCTATAGATTCAATCAGTGACACCGCAACCGCAAAATCAACTGCTTAACTGGCCGCTCACTTCATGCCGTGCACGCTGAGAGTTGTGCGTGGCGCCACAAAACGCTGCTCATGTTGCTTACTCATATATTATGCCTAATTGAATAACATTTCAGAAAAATACGTAACCAGATTTACAGATAATTTTACTATGCTGATTGGCCCAATTTGCTGATGTAAATTTAAGTTTTTGGTAAATAAATAATCCAATGAAAAAAAAACAAAGAAATATTTGTGAAATTACTTTCTTGCTTGGCCTGAACTGACTGAACAATGCGGTTTATCTGCCTGGCTATTAGACATATCATCTATATTGTCTGTCTGTATCATGTTCTTTGCCATTTGAAATTTGGACAACATGTTTGCGGTTAACGGCTGATGGCCTTTTCAATAGTCTCTTGGCTTTCTCTGTGTGGCAACTGTTGGCCACGAGACATGTTGCAGAAAGCGTTGCGGCCAGAATTTGTGGCCTCTTGCTTATGTTCTTATTCACATTTTATTCGATGGACAAAGACGAAACAGAACAACCAAGCGAAAACAATAAGAGAAACACAAACAAAATCTATGCCAAGCATCGTAAAACAAAACAAAACAAAACAAAAAACGCGCACTTCACATTGACAACCAAAAAGAAAAAGAACAACAAAATGACTGGACTCAAACTGTTTAGGCAATTTTCAAGTGATGTCCTTCCTCGCAGCCAGCGATAAGTGTTCAGTATAAATACTATGTATGTGTGTGTGTGTGTGTTGAGTGACCACAAATGCTGTGCACACACACACACACACAGACTGCCAGAGTGAACGTTCTCTAAGCTGCGTAGTCCTTCGACTGCTGAACCCCGGCTAAGTAACTAAAAGCAACCAAAACAAAAGCAAATGCCCATAAAAATGGACAACAGCAACGCGCTGATAAGCTGCAAATAATTTGTATGTGATGGAGAGACAAAGACAGCCACACAGACACTGACTGATAAAAGAGTGATAGAGACAAACATAGACAGAGAGAGAGAGAGTGGGAGAGGGAGAGACGAGCGCACATAGACAAAAGCGTCAATTTCAAAGGCGCTTCAAAAACACACAAAACTCTATTGCTGCCAAGTAGCTCAGAATTTTATTGTGGCTATATACATATGTGTACACTGAGAAAAAGTGCAATAGATAATAATAAAAGCAAGGAAAATGCATTAAAAATCAGGCAATTTGCAAATGAGCAAGCTTCAAGCTGTATAAAAACATTGAAGATTAAATTGATTATGAAAATAATATTAATAAAAAATATATCATAAAAAAATCTTTACCAATATTCAGCAGAGATGATAAAAATTTTAAGTGTAAAAGGTAATTTCAAAAAATCATATAATAAACCCTTAATACATACCAGTTCTTAGCCAGCCATAGTCGAAAATTCAATTGAACTATCATAATTTTCTCCAAGTGTACATGTGTTTGTTTGTGTGCATGTGCTTGTGCGTGGCAGTTAAGGCTTTGGTGTTTGGCCATATCGGTAAGCTCATAACAGGCCCGAATCTCCATTAGCAATGGGGCAGAGCGATGCCAACTGACAGATTGCCCGGCCAACCGGACTGGCAAGTCTTGCCGCAAAATGTTGCAGCATCTGGCCAGATCATCGCATTTGCCACATTTGCAAGACGCTTATTGCGCTGCCAGCCAGCCGCATAAATCTTG